GGAGTCTCATTTATTTTTCTTATTTTTTATATATCTTACATTTTTTTAAGAAAAAATTAAAAAATCAGATTTTAACAATTTTTTAAAAATAATTCTCAATAACAAAAATATCAAGAATTTTAAAAAATTTATTAATATTTTTATTAAATACGTCATTTTGACGTGAGATTCAATCCTAAATAAATCTTTTATCTATATAAGATATTCCAAAACATTCATTTGGGAATATTTTGTTAACAGAAATCTTTACTTTCTCAAGCATTCAATGAATTAAAAGTTAATAAATAAATAAATAAAATGTAGGAACATACCTTCATTTGGGTCCTCCTGTTCTGGAACCAGAACTTAATCTGGCGAGGAGCCAAGCCTAGCTCTCTGCTTAACTGCAACCTTTGCTTCTCGTCTGGATGAGGAGAGTCTTTGAATATTCTGGGTGTCAAAAACATTAATCAAAAATATATATAAAAACATTATTAATACTATCAAAGCAAAAGAAGAAAAAAAAAAAAAAAAAAAAAAAAAAAAAAGTGAAAAAGAAAAAAAAAGAAAGAGAGATTCCCATTTTGAAAAACGGCATGTTCACATGCATCATCATTTACTAAAAACATAAACAAAGAAACAGAACAAAACTATGTGTGTGCAATCTTTGCTTCTTGTTTTTATCTTGATGAGGAAAGTCAACATTCATTCTTGGTTTCCAGAAACATTAAAAAAATAATAATAATAATACTATTAAAGCAAATCTTTTTAAAGAGAGAGAGGGAGAGAGAGAGAGAGAGAGGAATGATTCAAAGCTTCCCATTTTGCAAAACAGCCTGCCCATTAACTAAAAACAAAACCCAGACGTCTATTGTGTGTAGATTATCGGATGAGAGAGAGAGAGAGAGAAGAGATCATGAAATATGTGAACTTACGCTTCAAGCTTCTGAATCTGGTAAGCAGTGTGGCGATGGTATCGTTTCTTCCTCCGGTGAGGATCAGAGTCATCGTGGTGGTCTCCGCCGGACCCACCACTCGCTCCGCCGCCGATACCGTACTCCATCGGTGGTGGTGGTGGTGGTGAATAGCTTCAGCAGCAGTATCTCAGGCAAGACTTGTGCCGGTGATTGGGATTGTAATGACATTGGTGGTTAAAGAAGAAGAAGAAGAAGCAAAGAATCTTAGCCGAATCATGGATTCCCATGATATGATATATTGAGTGTATTAATAATACAAATATATCATTTAGTGTTTATTATTACAAAATCACAGGAAAAACAAGAAGAAGAATATATGATCATAAACGACAAGGATTAGATATGGATTTGGTGGGGTGTGGGATTGATTTTGAGAAGCATTGTCTAAAGAAATAACTGATTTCATTTCATTTCAAAGACGAGGCCGTCGTAACGGCTGGAAAGTCGGCATGAATGAATCCAGAGGAGAGAGATATTTGGGTGGGTGGGGGGAAGGGATTGTAAAGGGGGCAATGAATGAAATTTAGGGAGAGGTGGGGGAGTAATTAAGAGAGGCGTTGGGTTGGAAAAGATGGGTACGAACAAGAGAGAGAGAGAGAGCGCTAATCCAAAGTACCATTCTACCACTGCTCTCTCTCTCTCTCTCTCTCTATATATATATTTATATGATGATGCTCTAGCAACTGAGTGAATGTATGTTTGTTGTAACCGACGGATTTAAAGCCATTTTTGTCTGATTACACGGACAGACGAGAGAGAGAGAGAGAGAGAGAGAGAGTGTTTTTAATTGAATTGAATGAATTGCTCAACTCTTTCGAAAAGGAAAAGGAGTCTATTGCTCTCTCTCTCTCTCTCTCTCTCTCTCTCCTCTTTCAACTACTAGTAATGTTTGGAGTTAAAGAGTGTGAACCAGAAGAGAGAGAGAGAGGACAGATGCTCGCTCACACACAGCCAGGTGGACAGAGGGGGCTTTAAAGCAGGAGTAGCTGCCGGAAGTTAATTTTTCGACTGCCGGCGTTGGTGTGGCTCCCGGCTCACTCTCTGTCTATATTAAATTGACTTTATTGTTCCCTCTCTCTCTCTCTTTTTTTCAGCTTGGTACATTTACGTCAGTTGACTTGGTTATTTTGAGTAGATAATTAAGAATTATTTTTTAATTTATTTTGAGTTATTTATTTTTTGAGTAATGATAGAGATCTTTTTTTGAGACTCTCGCAACCTTTATAGTGATTCATACCCTTCATAATGGGGATCCCCACATACATGAGTAGGCTCCACACATCATGAATGATGTGAATCACTATAGAAATTGTGAGATCCTCTAAAAAGAGAGTCTCATTTATTTTTCTTATTTTTTATATATTTTACATTTTTTTAAGAAAAAATTAAAAAATCAGATTTTAACAATTTTTTAAAAATAATTCTCAATAACAAAAATATCAAGAATTTTAAAAATTTTATTAATATTTTTATTAAATACGTCATTTTGACGTGAGATTCAGTCCTAAATAAATCTTATATCTATATAAGATATTCAAAAAACCCCAAAACGACGTCGTTTTGGGGGGCTGTTGGGAACGGCCGCCGAGAAGGGCGGCCGAGGATCCGGATTCCTCACTAATAAGGTTTATTTTGACGATTGACCTAAAAGTCAATTTTTTTATTTTTGGTTTTTTTTATTCAAGTCATTTTTTATATATTTTTTAAAAAAATTAAAAAAATCAACTTTTTACTTATTTTCTAAAACAATCCTAAATAATAAATACTCCCTTCATCTTAAAATATTATTTTTTTATTATCTTAAAATATTAATCTTTTTCAAAAATTAAAATAACATGAATTTTTTATTTTATTTTTCTTTTAAATTTATTAATCTTAATATTTTTAAAGTGTAATAATTATACAACTATCAAATGATAGTTTCGAAAAGTTAATTTTTTAAATGTAATAATTGTACTATAAAAGAAAAAGTTAATTTTTGTAAAAAGACCTAATATTTTAGAATTGAATAACTACGACAAATTATAAATACATCAGGAGATTTGATTAAAATACATATTTTTTTTATAATTTTAGAAATTTTGATACATCCTTGTTAGAATTTGTCATGTAAGAGTATCTCCAACGGTTGAACAAAATTTTCATCAAATTTGAGTAAAAAAAAGGCATTTGGCTCAATCTGATATCAATCACTCCAACGGTGTATTGTAACTTTTATCAAAACGTACCAGACGTCCGGGGGGACGACCGGCCGGTCGACTGGCTGGTCGACCGGAAAGAGCAAAATCTGTACAATTTTGTAATTGAATTTTCAAGCTTGAGGGTCATCCAGGGGGTCGACCCCGGGGTCGATCGGGTGGTCGACCTCCCAGTGTAAAATCTGTACAAAATTTTGCGCAAAATTGGTCATTCGGTAGAGAAAATACAACGGTAATGAATAGTGTTTTGGTGAAAGACCCAGCGCATTCTCAGTTTGGTTAAATTTTTATTTAATTCTCAATTTGATATCAGTTTGGTAAAACCATTGGAGAGAGAAAAAGTGACTTTTTCATCAAATTTCAAATCTAATGCACAATTTGATGTACTGTTGGAGATGGCCTAACAAAGTTTTGACATAAAAAATAAAATTAATAACCATCTTTATATATAATAATAAAATTATCAGAATTATTAATTAAAATATATTACTGACTTCGTAGAAAACTATTAACTGACTTAACAATTGATTAATAAAAGTGATTATTTATTATGCGATTGCAAATTTTAAGGGGGGAAATGTAATTTTTAAAATCACAATAAATTATTAATATTTTAAGTAAATATTTAAAATATGTTTATAATTTACTCTAATAAATAATAAAATAAAATAAGATATTATTAGTTGCGTATGGAATAGAGCATGTTATGTGTTATTTTTCATCAGTTATAAAACATTTTGGGTATGTTTGGTTTGTGTTTGAGAGATGTGTTTTAGAGATAAAAAGTACGAAAAGTTGTTTGGTTTGGTTTTTTTCAAAAGATGTTTTGGAAAATTATTTTGAGAGAGAGTTTTGGAAAAAGTGATTGATTTGATGTGTGTGAGAGAGAGATTTGTTTGGAAAACTTGTTTGGTTTACAAGTTTTGAGAAATTTTTTTGGAAAAATTTGTTTGGTTTGATTACTTTTAAAAACTTATTTGTAGAGAAAATTTCCCAAAAGTTTTTCAGAAATACAAACCAAACGAACCCTTTGTTTTCATATTGCCTTCCAAAAATTATTATGAAAATGATAAATTCTATTATTTAATTCAACCACAATTAAAAAAAAAAAGAAAAGACACTACAATTCAACCACAATTAAAAAAAAAAAAAAGACACTACATCACAATAACTTCAAAGGTATGCAATAATTGCTCAAAGTAAAACACGTCGACGTAGTTTGATAAATTTATATTTATTTATTTATAAAAATATGTTTGGTATATAAAATTTCAAAAAGATTATTTTGAAAACATGTTAGATGGGTGCCTAAAGGTGAATGCAGATGGTGATTGCGGACAATAATGCCTCGTTTGTTTTCAGAGGTAGAATAGAAGGAATTGATAGTGAGGGAATTAATAATGAGGGGATTAAATAAAATTGTGTTTGTTTTGATGATAGTTGTTAGTGTGGGGATTGTTAAATTATTTTTATATAAAATAATAAAACAAATAAAAAAATATAAAAACATTAAACATTAATGTTTTAAAAAAATGCTCAACATGTAAAAAAAATTTAAAAAATAAAAATAAAATAAAATAATTTCAAAAAAAATAAAATAAATAAAATAATATTTTTACTTAACAAAAAATACAAAAAATTAAACATTAATGTTAAAAAAAAAATGTCCGACATGTAAAAAATAGTCCGACATGTAAAAAATAAAATAAAAAATAAAAAAATTTTAGTCCGCCGGACTATTTTTCTAATATTAAGTCCTACAGACTTATCCTAATCCCCTCTCGAAGGGGATTCGTAGTCCGAAGGGAATTACGAATCCCTTCTCCATCTCTCAAAACAAACATGATATTAGTGAGTTCTATCTCACTATGAATCTTAATCTTCTCCCTATAACTCAAAACAAACGGACCTAAGAAGTGGTTGATAATTGTCGTAGGCAGGAAATTTGTTTTGCAGTGACCTGAGGTGTGGTTGTCAACAACAGAAAATGGTTTTTAGTTGCCAAAAATAGGGAATTTAGTGGAGATTGGAGGTGGTGGTTGACAATGGTCATGGACAGTGCATAGGAGAAGGTGGAAATGAAAAAATATATATTTTTCAAAATAAGTTAAAACAACTATTTTTTGTTTATTGTAATTTAGGTCAAGTTTGGCATACTTGAAAAAAGATAAAAAGTCAAAAAGTCACTATCATATTTAAGTCATATCATCTTATTTAAATCACATCACCTCTCTAACACATCACTTCAAACCCAACCCAAACCTAACTCATATTTCATAAAAAGTCAAAAAATGTACTTATTTAGATCATCCTAAACAACCTATTAGTAAATTTTGTAAAATATTTCATATAAACAATTATAGGACACCAATGAACTTTGGCTGTCAGTATTCAATTTTTTTTTTTATTTTTTGGTTTAAATATGAACATTATGAAATGGGATCATGTGATTTTCAATTTAATTACAACTTTCTCATTCACTAAGTATATAAGCCCAATCTTGAGGGAGTTGACCTAGTGGGTGTAGTTTGGAATTTTAGAGTGTATTCCTTTCATATGTCAGGTTCAACTTCTATTAGGTGCTATCAATTCCTTGGAATCACGCCCGCAAGCTGCCCGATCCACATAGAGATAGCGTTTTATATGGGTTCTGAAATTAGTCGAGGTACACGCAAATTAACCCAAACCCAGTCATAAAAAAAAAATTAAGAAGAAGTGTATATAAGCACTTGTTTTAAATCAATAATGCATGCCTTAACTTCAAAATAGTATGTCATTTTTTGTTTCCTTAAATTTCTTATAAATTCATGTTACTAACTTAAATTGTATGTTCAGCTTCAATTCAATTGCTTCTCAATATGAGAGTATGCTTTTTGGTTTTGAAAATGTAAAGAAAATGTAAGTGAAATATAAGTTCAATTTTTTCTCTATTTTTTTTTTTAATTCCTAATTTGACTGTAATTTAGGCTAGGAGTTACAATGACACTTGGAATGGAATTTAGGGTAATTTACCAACCAATCTCCCTTTCTAGCCTTATTACCTATTAAGTCCTGACTTATTTTTATGTACTATTAAGTCCTTAGTTGCCAATAATACCCTCATTGAATTTATTACTCATTAATTTTCTCAATTTTTATTAACTTCTCTCTCTTGATCTTTTTTTCCAGAACCCTTATTCTTTCTCTCTCCATATCTCATTCTCTCTCTCTCTTTCTAGAAAATATCACCACCGTTGCCATGGCCATGGCCATCCACCCACCACCACCACTACTGTGACAACCCTCATCACTGTTTACTGATAAGACCACTGAGTAGTGCTAATCTATGATTAAGCATGTTAACTGACTAATTGACTGAAATCTTGAACTGATTGATTGAACGCATTAGTTTGAATGCATGTCTATCTGTTTGTCTGCTAAACTATATGTTCATGTGATATGTTTAAACTGCAAATTGAAGGCCTTATCGGCGGCCGAATCTGAAATTGATGGATGTTTTATACTAATTGGAATTTGTGTGATTTTATGCTATGTTTAATTGAAATTTGATTGGGTATGATTAAATTAGATTTAATAATGGTAATTTACAAGAGTTTGACTTATCTACAAATTTGCCACCTAATGGAGTAATCTAGGCTAACCTCTCTTCACCTTATACACTTTTGATACAACATTTCCTTCAGCCTTTTTGAGTGACTAAACCGACTAGAGAGAGAGAGATAGGAGAGATTGATTTCATCTAGGCATTTTGCTTGGAAACTTGAAGAAATTGTAGAGGATTTGTGCAATTGAGCTTATACCCTTGAGTTTAAAGACCTAAGGTTAGAACTCATCTTCTTGGTTGTGAGTTAAGTTG